CTTTCTGAATTTATGGGCTTGCAATTTATTTCCTGCTACGTATTTACCCAACAGATAATCAAATGAGCTAGCCAATGTTGTTTTTGTTACAAGGATGCTGCATTCCGTTTTTTTCTAGGATTTTCTTTCATATTTGCCCCTTTTTTCTAAGCTGTTTCTTTTAATCTTTCTGATTAATGTCCTCACACTCTACTACTTTCTTCAAGATTCCTCTATTTCCCTGTTTTGCACTTTTCTTCAATAAAATCAAAGATGAAAATATTGTTTGAACAATTTTAAAATGACTACTGCTTATGTGAGGGGGGGCAAAGTAAGAAATTGAGAGCAATCTCAGTGTGAAAATTACTTGGAAAAAGTTATCGTAAATGTACTGTCATTTACTTAATCTCCCTAACGTTTCGAAGCATACCCGCTTCATTTTCATAATCCCGGACTGTCGCTTCGGTTTTTGTTCCGTCGAATGACCCTCGTTAGTCAGAGTCCAGGGCTTCCCTTCGACCCTCTTAAACCGACGTTAGGACTATGAGGGCTATCGGGCGAGGGTGTGTTTTGCATCACGCTGGCCACTCCCCGGTCCACTTCAATCACCCGCTCTTACGACAATCTTGTCGACGGTCGCATACCGAACGTTCGTAGAATAAGCCTCCCCCTAAGTTAACTTCACCCCCATTTATAACTGTGGATCAGTGCAGTCAAAAATGGAAATCCCGGTTGCGGAATTGGAACCATATTGGCTACGCTGGGATTATTCGACCCGGTAAATTATAGATACCTACGTATAGTTGTGTGTTTCCGAAAAATTGCATCAATTTTCTCGATATCTTTATGTATGAGGACACGTTTCACTGTCTACGATCGTTTTGTTCATTCATGGATGTAGCCATTTCTTAAAGTGATGCCGGAAACTTCGATACATACGTACGTTACTGTTGCTTATTTAGAAGAGGGAAGGTATCATGAATGAGAAAACAAATCCTACATAAATTATTTCTTTTACCAGGTCATAAGTAATGGGTAATAAACTTATGCATCAGTAGCGGCTGGTATGTAGGGTTACAGGGACAGGCGTGTTGAAAATTATCTACACATTCTGTTCTGTTATATGCATAGATACTATAATGACTCTTACACATTTTACTCTTCGAAGGATTCTCGAAGCGAAACTTTATGGAGCATCTGTTATCCGTTGCTGGTGGACGTTTCAAATCGATGAAATAACATGAATGAGATCGCATAAAACAGACGGACAGGTAAATCTATTTATCTCTGTCCTATGATTATATTATTAGTTTGTGCATATGTAATTACTCAAATAAATTCGATGGACTCTCTACTGATCAATCGGGCAATTATTTACCAGCAAATGATGGAAAGTAATCTACAGCGGATTTGAACAGTTTGTTATTGAAATCCTAATTTATTTTCTAATATTGTAATTAATTTTTCTAAAATGCCCAAACCAGATATTAGGAAAAATGTGTGTATATTGTTATTCAAATAATATTTCTAATAACTTTGAAAAAGATGTGACCTAAAATTGACATAGTTTGCCGAGTTCTGTATTTAAATGTTTAAATTGACTCAAAAACTTTCATTAATATAGCAATACGGCGATTTCGTAGTAAACGATGCGTTCAGTTAAAGTCTTGAAGATCATAAATTTACCGAAATACGCTTTACGTTTCGCAAAGACATACATCAGGCGTCGCCCTGCTTCACCGCAACGCCTTCAGGCTATTTCCTTAGGGTCGAAGTTAATATAAGACTGCTGCTGTTGCTGTTGACCCATTCCGAACACAACGATCCTTGTTTTCTGCTCCTGTTTACTGCCTTCGGGCTTCCACGGCGTTGAATGTTATTGACAAAATAAAATAGAAGTGACCGCTATTAGAATTTTACTGATGGTACAAACGTTTTTCACTCCAAAATCAGACACATCTATTTTTTTTTTAGTTATTGTGGCACAAATTACTAAAATTGTGAAGATTTAGCGAGACCTAAATGAATGAAAATAAAATTTCGATTTATATTTTTGGTAGGTTTTTAATGTTTTTGTTCATTAATTATTCAGAGGTTGCGCAATCAGTTTTTTTTTACATAATATACCCAACAACTACGTGCTGGCGTAGATTATAAACCCCTTTTGTATAGTTAAGTTAGTCTTATAGCTGGTTAAAAACGCACCTCCACTCTTTCCTATCCTAAGCTAATCTTCGCATTTCCCTGAAACTAGAATATCTCACATCCTTAGTATTTGTGAACAGTAATCTAATCTAGGCCTACCTAGTGTGGTATTAAAAGTTAATAAATAATACAAAAATACATATACGTAATAGATTGGGGTCGTTTGGAATTAAAAATGGAAAAATCCTGACGGAACCCGAGATGCCTTTTAAGTAAAATGCCCTATTTATTTTGTTCTCGTACTCATTACGTTGAAAAAATGACTCGTCTCCTAGATCCTAGAGAATTTTAATGTATGCATTTTCTCGCGATATTTTTTTTTACAAACGATGTCAATAGTTTACATAGAGGTTTTATGAATCTGTTTTATTGTATTGTGGGAACCTGTGCTCTGTACCTGTTTGGGTTTATCCTAAAGAAGGATTAGGGAAGGTAATACACCCTTGCACAAGTACCCGACGATAAGGTAACAAATACAATCCAAGAACGTATTACAGTCAGTACGGGGGTAGTAAAGAAAAGCAATAATATCGGGTTTTGCGAAAGCGCCGGTGATTTAGAAAACATGACACACACGATATAAAAATAACGTTTCTGAAGATGTTGTTACTTTTTATGTTTCGAATGCCGAATACCTGATCCATAATTCATAGGATATCAACGGTTGTCAGAGCCTGCAAGGTCAGTGTGGATCATGATAGCAGAGGGTGGTTGCTGTTCTACAGAAATCAGAGAACATAAGATGCTTATTTACATTCTAAGGAAGTGCGGCTTGGCAGTTATCCCTCGGTTTTCTTCTGCTATTGACAAGTATAAAGTTTTATTTTTATTGTCCGAAAGCAAACACGACTTTCCTTATGACGTAGATTTTGCAACCAACAAGTAAGCCCTCTTCATTTTATTACTACTTTCCTTTACATATTGAGGCGATTTCTGTATTTATTTAGTAATAAAATGTACCTGTTGGAGGTGATGTTAAACTCATTTTATTTTCATGATCTTTTGAACAAACACCATAGGATTTCAACATAATTACAGTCGGAAGAGAATAAAAAAGTAATGATCCCAATTTATTTCGGTCCGCAAACATTAAGCTTGTAACAACTTTTAAAGAAGATAGTGTCGATAGTTGTGAGAGTTATGAAAACTTCGGAACTTGCCCTTCCTTCAACGCATAAATTGACCCTTCGTCTAACGCTTTCGTTGACCTTTTAGTAAACAAAATAGTACAGGGTACTTGAAACAAGTAAAAATATGGAAAATAATTAGTTTGTCAACCGTGTGTTCCAAACATAGGAACAAAGAACACTCCGAGGACATTCTTGTATTCTTCATATTTTGTATTAAAATCTAGTAAATACTAAATATATTTTGTTCCAGGAAAGGATATATTTAAATTGCTTCAAATAGTTTAAATCATAAATCTATCGGAAAAGTAATAATTTTTCGTTTACTTCTGCGTATTTGACCTCGATCTTGTATATTTGGTCTTAATTTTAGTCTCGGTCTTATTCGTTTGGTGTAGGTTGTAATCTTGGTCTTATTCGTTCGGTCTTAGTCTTGATCTTACATTTGCTTGCTAGACCAAAACTGCAATACCAAAACCAATTTTGCTCATTACTAACATATCATATGCATAAATAATTTAAGCTTTCTTCCTAATAACGTTGATACCTATTATTTCTGTACAGGTAAAGAACAATCATCCTGACTACTACTACAATAAGCTGGTAGTTCCTTATGACCTACTTTGATATAATCACAAAACGAATGAGAGCAGATATCAATTTAGGGGCAATAGAAGGAATTCGTCATACTTTTCGCGGTTTGATGCAGCGCGTATTATTGGCGAACGCGAATGGGAAAGCTTATTGTCCAGAACAGCTGGTCTTCATTGGGGTGGCGGACGTTTTACCGCCGTTTCCACCCCACGAGCATAGTGCATGAAGCGTTGTCGGCGTCGGGACGCGTCGGCCATTTGCTAATGTAACTCGTCAATCTCGGGAATCGACGTGATATATAAGGACCGCAATGTAAACAAATCGCTAGCAGTGAACCATGTTCGGAATGTGTATGTCTGTAAGCTCGATGCTCCAGGAGTGGACGAACGTTTTTAATTGGATCAGCCTCGTGAACTTAGCTGGCAAGATATAGCCAGTGAAACAAAAAAAAATAGGAAAATAACTTTTCAACTTTCATACACTGTCTTCCGAGACACGTAAAAGGAGCAAAACCTAAAAATTTATTTTCATATTTATTTATTTACTAGATTCCATATTTACCAGGTTTTACCCGCGGCATTGTTCTCGTTCATGTCCTAAATACGTGCAAGATCGTCGACGACCAAACAAAAATTAATTTTTCTATCGCTTGGAAATAGTATTTTTTCTCGATAAAAGGTACCCTATGCCCTATTCTGTACCCCTGACAATACATGTATAGAAAATTTGATGGTGATCAATTGAGTAATTAAAGCGAGATATGGTAACAAACAAACAAACCCATATTCATATTTATAATATTAGTTAGGATTTATATGATTATGTATTATGATGCATACTGTAGTAATTTCAGTTACCAAATTTAAAAGGTTTCTTATTTTAAAACGAACCACCGATCTTTCGCCTTGGTCATAAGGGTGTTTCAAGGATGGTTTTGTTATTCGGATGGTGTATATTGTATATGCAGAACATTAATGCACAAATAGACGTAGAGATAAAGTAATAAATAGTAACATATCTAATTTGAATTCTACATTTTTATTGATTTTTAACAAAATTGATGCTCTTGACCTGGATCTTCCTGAATATTTAGAATATAATTTCATACATTTATTATGGTGATCAACTAGGGATTATATAGTCATCTATTTTCCATAAATCATATGGTATATCAAATTTAGTACAGTAAATAAGTAGGTATATTTTAGGATAACAGTTCAAATGTTAATTTAATTGGTAAAATCAAAATATCTGTAACATTATTAACATAAAACAATAAATGTTTCACTATACCGATATCTTTGATCGTGATTTTGCTACTATTGCTTCGTGTGCATCCATACTTACGTTATCCCGCGAGAGAATATCCCTGAAATAATGATAAAATCATTACTAATCTAGTTAAAAACATAAAATAAAAAGTGTAATATTATTTCCACAAGTATTTCAGCAACTTTTCGGTCGTTTTGCTTATAGGTATATTTTAAACCTAGAAATCTAGATATAATAAATGGTTACGAACATCCCTTGTTGAAAGTTCATAATCATTAATAATTAAAATAACACGTTTAATTTTGCATATCTTACCCTTCGTTTCTGGTGGAGTTGCTGCTGGTTAGAACTACTGTAACATTCTCGGCGATAGACTTAAAGGGAGATAGGGACACTGTAGTAGAATAATTTCCCTTATTAAATATAAAAACGTAGGTGTCGTTACCAGCCAACTCCCTCGTAAATGCCAAAACGTAGGTGTCTAAAGCCTCTATGTTCAAATTTCCAAAAAAGAAAGTATCTTCTTTCCTTAGCTTCAATAGAGCTTGGTAGACATGAAAGTGACTTTTTACTCCATTTTTTCTTTGTAGTTCAAGATTGTTTGTTTTATATTGTGAACTGACGGGCAACCAGGTTTTGTTCGCTGTACTGAATCCTGCGTTAACTGTAGAGTCCCATTGGAACGGAGTCCTCTCAAAATCTCTGCTTTCAGTTTTGAAGGCTGATTCGAGTCCATTGCAAGCGCTTGGATCTTGTCCTTCTTCCCATGTTACCTCTCCATTTTCCATCCCAATTTCTTCTCCGTTGTAAGTGACAGCTATACCTGGTAGAAGGCCTACCAGCATATTGTAACCATCTACATTCTCAACACCAAGACGGGTGGCTACTCTATCTCTATCGTGATTTCCTAACTAAAATCCAATAAGGAAACAATATTCACCTAATACGGTATGTTATAGAAAAAGTGTCTTCAAAAAGCTAACTATGGCGTTTATATATGTTTCGATGACAATTCTTACCACCCAATTAGGTACACGTCCGCTTGGCATATTTTGAAACCATTTCTTTATTGGCGAAATGATCTCATTGGCAGTACTGTTATATCTTGTTTCGGTTATGATAAAGAAATTGAAAGGAAAATGAGAACCATCAACTGTTCCGTTGCCATAATGTAGCATATTGAGGTTAATTTTTGAATATGCTTCGGTCATGAGCACCCTATGGAAAGGATGTTTTCAGTTAAATATTTATTCTAACATGAAGTAACCGTATAAATACGGAATGCTACACTTTCATGAAATTAAAAGAAAATCTGCCAATACCTTTTATCTACAAGAGAAATTGCTAGGTATTGGTATTAGCGAAGGTATCTATAAATATATTAAGAATTTTCCGACATACTTCCCCAAATGTGAGCTGTATGTTGGAATACTGATAAACTGACATTTACATAGTATATTGATATAACCCATATTAAAAATAAACGTTTCTGGTTTAGAAAAAAAACATTAATAATGAATATGAATAAACTTTAACTCTAACTACCGAATATAAATAATATATATTCAATAAATGGGCACCTGCGGTAATTCCTTACATGTTGACTATTATTGATACCTAGATGATACCTAGAACTCCTTTATAGGTACTTATAACACGTAGCTGTTACCTGGTATCTCCTCCGTTTTGTTTTTGGTAATTGTCAACAAGTTCCCTCCACTGATAAATCATTTGTATACTTTCTGGTCGATCAAGACTATAAATATGGTTCAGATAGTTGTACTCATAGGGATTGTAGTTTTTGTAATCATCAGCGAGGGGTTCATCTGGCAAATCAGGATGTTCGAAAATAAAGCGAATAGCGTCAATTCTGAACCCATCCACCCCCTTATCTAACCAAAAGGTCAACACGTCCTTAAAAAAAAAACAAATATTTTTAAATAATTAATCTTAGATAAATTGAAAAGGAACAGTAATCGCTTACTTTCATTTCTTGCACAACTTTAGGGTTTCTGAAGTTCAAATCAACTTGTGCGGTGTTAAATTGATGGTAATAGTATTCGTCTCTCTCTGCCACATATTCCCAGGCTGAATAATCGAATCTGGACAACTTTTTAAAACAAAGATCTAATTGTATATTATCTGAACTTTGTTAAAATGATAACACAATAGTATCTAAATGCCTACGTATTAAGTATGAAATAGCAATTATTACTATAAAAATATTCATTTGTATTACAAATCTTTCGTTATGTTAATTACATTTTAAACGTTGTCAGAATAATGATTACAGGTCATACACACTAACCACTTATTTTCGATTTAATTTTTATATAATCCATAAAAAATTGTTCCTTCTATTGAAATAATGTGACGCTGATGACAATGATGACGATGATGATTGTAATATGTCTCTACCTGACCCTTTTTTGTTTGAGTACCAACAACCTATCTCGTTATTTTCTATTAATTTCCATAACGTTCTCTGTTCTTCTACTCTTTCTATTACCTTCTCATTTGAAGGACGGAAAAATACTTTTATCGTATATGCTCACAGTAAAATAGTGATCCAAAATTCTTTTATATCATACCTATGATATACACGGAATGTTCATACATCTCCGACTGTTATGAATCAAAAACTACTTATTAATAAAAGTTCAAATAAAAAATTGGGAATATTACACTAACCCAGTTATTAGGAGGTGTTGTTGAATTATAGCCCTTTCTCCAAATGAAATAGTCCTCGTACCCCTTAGTTTTATTTTTGGACAACTGGAACCACACGTGTTGATCGCTGGTATGATTAGGAACAAAATCCAAAATAACTTTTATGCCGAGTTCGTGGGCTGCCTTAATAAGCCGTTCCAAATCACTCATGGTTCCGAATTTTTCATCAATATCTCTAAAATCACTAATATCATATCCAGCGTCGACTCCAGGAGATTTAAAAATAGGCGAAAGCCATGTAGCCGTTATTCCAGCATCTACCAGATATTGTAATTTACTAATAATACCATTCAAATCGCCCAGTCCATCGCCATCACTATCTTTGAAGGATCGAGGATAAATCTGATAGAATGCTGTATGTTTCCACCAATCGTCCTTAGCCGTAGAACTACCATTGTAAATAACTTCAGCTTCAATTAAGCTGTGAAGTAAACTAGTGAAAAGGATCACTATTTTTAACACACTCATGGTTACGTGTGACCGATTGTTAGGCTAGTAGACAACAATCAATTGTTGAACATTTAGCAGGTATTTATGTTTGGTGAAATGTACAGATAAATATTTAGATCATATCTCTATATGGTACTTCAGTATAAAGAGAAAAATATAACGTAATAATAAATTAAATGCGTTATGGACCCTTACAGAAATTAATAACAACTTCAAGTCGCTTTAATCGCAAGTTCGGTAATAGCATATAAATGCAGTCATTCGATTTAAAAAACGAAATATTTATTAAGGTAATGATAATGGAAGTGATCACAGACAGTAATATAGAAATATTTTTAAACTCAATAATGGAAGGCTAACATAACTTAAGAGAAGGACACCAAGGTTATGCATCCCCATTCCTAAAATAAATTCATGTTATTTTAAACCTCGCATTTTCGAAAGCCAAAAAATTAAACAGAAGGTGTTTATTTGTGCTTTCCGGCGTTGGTAGTGCTGTCCCGAGATTTTTCAAAAATTCTGTTGGTAGAATTCAAATCTAAAGGTGAAATAATGCAGGCATTAGAATTTTTCCGTTATCCTATGATACCTGCCTAGGATACATCTTTCGTATCAATTCAATATATATGTATATGTGCGATGTTGGTCATGTTTGTCCATTAATATATAATAGTTCAGCTTATCGTATGGTGTTTGTCAAACCTATTTATTCGATGCTCATGTGAAGGAGGTTCTGGAGAAATAGGTAAGCCGCCATCTTGGTGTGGTCGCCATATTACATTTAGTAACATTATTTATCTTATTATTTCCTAATTGGGTGAAGGGAACTAGTTTAAAATTTAGTTGCCGAAATCGAGCCACATCTACGTACTAGCTAGTAACAAGTTAAGTGAAATGTTTTTTGAAATGGTAAAATCATGTCTGTACCTGGTGCCTTAGCTTGATATTCTAGAATATTATTCAGTTATCGTTATCATTTGAAGTCTTACATGTTTTTATACGCAGCTGTATTTGTTGGAGATAATAGCTTATAAAAAAAAATAAAACAAGCAGTTTAATCAGTTTATTTAATTTGCTTTCTAGGTTTCCTTTTGAGTAAGACTTCAATTTAATCCAAAATTGTGCTCGTGGGAGATAAAATTTTATGAAAAAAGGTTACGTAATGGGTATTACTTTTTGTTGTTTCTTTTTTTTAACTTATCATTTTGGGTTGATATAAATTTTAATTATTTTGATAAGTAGTTTTACTTATTAGAGATAATGAGTGAAATAACCTTTTATTTGATTTTTTGTCTCTCATCTAGTCTTGCTCATTAGAACACAGAATCACTCTTAGAACTCCGGGATATTTATTAACTAGGAATATTTCGTGTATGGTGGAACACAAATGTAAATTTTACAGAAACACAGAAACACAGCATAAGGTCATTTCCTTGATACTTCTGATAGTAACGATTTGATTGAATGTCCAAGTAAAACTGTTGATGAACTGACGAAAGTATATAGCGATATGATTGAGAAAAATGATTCCTGGTACCAAAATTCTGGATTATCACATGAAATTAACAACCAAAATATCAAAAATTTTTGGCGGTATGTCTCAGGACAGAATTAATCCGTAATGTTAATTCTCCGCTCAGTTCCATAATCCATCTATAAAAATATTGTATTAATGAATAAAGGCGCGACAATCAACCCCTCACCGACAAACAATTAATATTGTTCCGATTACAAGCGATATGAAACTGTATTTACAAACGATAATCACTTAAACCACACAAAATGAATCTTTTAATTAAAACTAATGCATTTCTGGAGAACTAATTTTTGAAATTTTATAGCAGATTTCCATGTTTCCAGTTTCACACTTTCTTAGGCTCGTATTGTTTAGAGTAAATGGGAGCAATAATAACCACCAGGTAGGAGAATTTCATTTAATGGAGTTATTTGCCCCTTAATTGTGACAATTGACTACCAAAAATAAATAAAGTAAATCAATAACAATAATCGTTAAATACGTACAGTTGTTTTAAATGTGCTAAAACGAGTTTAAACGATGAAATATTTCACGTTCCCCAATTTTTACCACCCAGGCCCGTTCCTCCTAGGGAGTAACTTCAGATCCATAAATCTATCTATCACCGGTAGTACTGACCTATTTATATGATAAAATTAGTTGTCCTTATTTTGACAAGAAGACGAATTTTGGAATTTTTACATATTTATGAATTTCGGTGAACATTGTTTAAAATCGATTTCAGATTTTGATACTTTTGAAAATAACGAATTAATACCCTATTTTCTGAGACACGTAAGTGGAACAAAAAAGGAACAAGAACCAAAGTATATTGTCATATTAGTATTTTCTAAAAATCTGACATTTAGTTTAGTAATAAAGTCGGCATATTTTAAGATAATAGTTAAAATGTTAATTAGTTTATTATTGGAAAATTCGAAATAGACATATCATTATTAACAGAATAGTGTAAATATTCCATAATACCTTAATATTTTATTGTGGTTTTACTACTATTGCTTCGTGCGCATCCATAGTTAGTCTTCCTGATGGCAGAATATCCCTGAAAACAACAATAAATGTAGATTAATCATTTTGTACCTTGTAAATCAAGAATTTTACATATAGATGAATAGCACTGAACGCAATAATTGGTTGAAACATAATATATAATACCCAATGAACAAAATAAAATGTTTAATTTTGTATATCTTACCCTGCGTTTCTCGTCGAATTGCTGCTGGATAGAACTACTGTAACATTCTCGGTGACAGACTTAAAGGGAGATAGGGACACTGTAGTAGAATAATTTCCCTTATTAAATATAAAAGCGTAGGTGTCGTTACCAACCAACTCCCTAGTAAATGCCAAAACGTAAGTGTCTAAAGCCTCTATGTTCAAATTTCCAAAAACGAAAGTATCTTCTTTCCTTAGCTTCAATAGAGCTTGGTAGACATGAAAGTGACTTTTTACTCCATCTTTACTTTGTAGTTCAAGATTGTTTGTTTTATATTGTGAACTAACGGGCAACCAGGTTTTGTTCGCTGTACTGAATCCTGCGTTAACTGTAGAGTCCCATTGGAACGGAGTTCTTTCAAAATCTCTGGTTGTACGTAGGTAATCTTCTTTGGGTCCAGTGCATGCTTTTGGATCTTGTCCTTCTTCCCATGTTACTGCTCCATTTTCCATCCCAATTTCTTCCCCATAATAAGTAACAGCTATCCCTGGTAGAAGGGCTACCAGCATATTGTATCCGTCTGCATTCTCAACTCCAAGACGGGTGGCTACTCTGTCTCTATCGTGATTTCCCAACTGAAACCCAAGAAGGATACGATATTCACGTAAAATGGTATGTAATAGAAAAAGAATAAGCAAATAAGTAACTGTCTTTTTTATTCTGAGTCACGTCACGCTTGTAAGTTCTTTAAGACGACAGACGATTCGATTTAAGTTAAATAAGCCAACTACAGCGTTTGATGACATCCTTACCACCCAATTAGCTACATGTCCGCTTGGCAGATTTTGAAACCATTTCTTTATTACTGAAATGATGTCATTGGCAGTACTGTCATACCTTGTTTCGGTTATAACAAAAAAATTGAAAGGGAAATGTGCTCCTTCAACTGTTCCATTACCGTAATGTTGCATAATAATGTTAATTCCTGAATATGCTTCGGTCATAAGCACCCTATGGAAAGAAAGTTTTTCAATTACATATTCATTCTAATAGGAAGTAATGAAGGTTTTGTACTTTTTTATGAATATAAAACGAAATCTGCCAATACCTGCAAGGGAAACGGGAAAGTATTGGTATCAGCGAATGTATATACTATTAGCAATATTGTAATATTGTATATTCTTCCCCAAATATATAAATAAATAGATTTTTTTTNGATTTGAAAGTTTTATGATATGGTCATTATTGGTAGAAATTCTTTATACTTCGAACACGTGGCTGTTACCTTGTTTCTCCTCCGTTCTGTTTTTGGTAATTGTCAACAACTTCCCTCCACTGATAAATCATTTCTATATTTTCCGGTTGATCTGTAGTATAAATATGCTTGAGATAATTGTACTCATACGGTTTGTAGTTTTCGTAATCATCAGCGAGCGGTTCATCTTTGAAATCAGGATGTTCGAAGAAAGCGCGAACCGCGTCGATTCTGAACCCATCTACGCCCTTATCCAACCAAACAGTCAGCACGTTCTTTAAAAAAACAAATATTGTTAAATAATTGATCTTGAATAAATTAAAAAGGAAAAGTAATCGCTTACTTTCATTTCTTGTACAACTTTTGGGTTTCTGAAGTTCAAATCAGGTTGTGCAGTGGTATATTGATGAAAATAGTATTCGTCTCTCTCGGCCACATATTCCCAGGCGGAAGAACCGAATCTAGACATCTTTATAAAATAGAAATTTATTTGTGTACTACCTGAACATTGTTAAAATGACAACCAAATTGTATCTAAATACCTACTTAAATTCAAAGTTCGAAATAACAATTATTACCATAAACAGCTGATAAAGATATTCAGTTACATAATAAACCTCTCGTTGTGTTAAGGATATTTTGAAAGTTGTAAGAAACTTCGATTTAATTCAATTATTTTTTATAGTACCTAATTGGGGCAAATAGTTTCAAAGAAGTTTGTCGAAAATAATTATTTCTATTGAAGTATGAAAAATAATGGTGATGGATCTAAGGATTTAAAAAATTATTTTATTGTTTTGTTTGTAGTGTAAAAATCCTTTTATAGCATACCTATGATATACTTGGAATGTTCATTCATCTCCAGCTGTTATTAATTAAAAGCTGCTTATAAATAAAAATTCAAATAAGAAATTGGGAATATTACACTAACCCAGTTGTTAGGAGGCGCTGTTGAATTATAGCCCTTTCTCCAAATGAAATAGTCCTCGTACCCCTTTGTTTTATTTTTGGACAACTGGAACCACACGTGTTGATCGCTGGTATGATTAGGAACAAAATCCAAAATAACTTTTATGCCAAGGTGCTGTTGAATTGTAGCCCTTTTTCCAAATGAAATAGTCCTCGTACCCCTTAGTTTTATTTTTGGATAACTGGAACCACAAGTGTTGATCGCTGGTATGATTCGGAACAAAATCCAAAATAACTTTAATGCCCAGTTCGTGGGCTACATTAATAAGCCGATCCAAATCATTCATGGTTCCGAATTTTTCATCAATATCTCTAAAATCACTAATATCGTATCCAGCGTCGACTCCAGGAGATTTAAAAATTGGCGAAAGCCATGTAGCCGTTATTCCAGCATCTACCAGATGTTGTAATTTACTAATAATACCATTTAAATCACCCAGTCCGTCGCCATCACTGTCTTTGAAGGATCGAGGGTAAATCTGATAGAATACTGTATGTTTCCACCAATCGTCATTAGCCGTAGAACTACCATTATAAATAACTTCAGCTTCAATTAAGCTGTGAAGTAAACAAGTGAAAAGGATCACTAATTTTAACACACTCATGGTTACGTGTGACCGATGATTAGGCTAATAGACAACAATCAATTGTTGAACAAATTCGTAGGTACTTATGTTAGGTGAAATTTTACAGATAAACGTGTAGATTTATATCTCTATACGGTACTTCAGTAGGTATAAAGAAAAAAATATAATACAAAGGTAAATTAATTGCGTTATGGACCCTTACAAAAAATAATGACAACTTTATGTCGCTTTAGTCGCATGTTCGTTAATAGCATGTGATTCGATTTTAAAATATTTATTGAAAGTAAGTAATGACAATGGATGTGATCAGAGACAGTAAGATACTAATATTTTCCGACTTAATAATGGAGGGTCTAACTAAATTTATCTAAATGTAGGATAAGGGGATTCCAAGGCTATGCTTCCCCATTCCTAAAATAAATTCATGTTAATTTTAAACCTTGCACTTTCTAAAACCAAAAAATTAATCAAACTGATGTCCATTGTGTTGTACCTGGTAGGAAAGTACATGCAAAATTTGTTCCACGAAACCCAGACTCGTCGACCGGTATGTTTACCTACCTACTTCCCTTATCAACCCGTCCGACAAGTTTCACCGTTACCAACAACAACCCCTACATGAGGCATATTTCGAAAACTAAATTTTATTCAATTCTTTTAATATTTTTCTTTTTTTCATTAACTGGTTTTTTGTCTAGACATCTATTTCCTTTTTTTATTTTCTATTTATTTCTTTACTTATTTCCCGCACTATAAATTCTATCTTTCCTTCAATTTCTGTTTTCTCTTCTAGTTATCGTACAGACTTGCTCTTTTTTTTTAATCCTAGGNATATGGTATATCAAATTTAGTACAGTAAATAAGTAGGTATATTTTAGGATAACAGTTCAAATGTTAATTTAATTGGTAAAATCAAAATATCTGTAACATTATTAACATAAAACAATAAATGTTTCACTATACCGATATCTTTGATCGTGATTTTGCTACTATTGCTTCGTGTGCATCCATACTTACGTTATCCCGCGAAAGAATATCCCTGAAATAATGATAAAATCATTACTAATCTAGTTAAAAACATAAAATAAAAAGTGTAATATTATTTCCACAAGTATTTCAGCAACTTTTCGGTCGTTTTGCTTATAGGTATATTTTAAACCTAGAAATTTAGATATAATAAATGGTTACGAACATCCCTTGTTGAAAGTTCATAATCATTAATAATTAAAATAACACGTTTAATTTTGCATATCTTACCCTTCGTTTCTGGTGGAGTTGCTGCTGGTTAGAACTACTGTAACATTCTCGGCGATAGACTTAAAGGGAGATAGGGACACTGTAGTAGAATAATTTCCCTTATTAAATATAAAAACGTAGGTGTCGTTACCAGCCAACTCCCTCGTAAATGCCAAAACGTAGGTGTCTAAAGCCTCTATGTTCAAATTTCCAAAAAAGAAAGTATCTTCTTTCCTTAGCTTCAATAGAGCTTGGTAGACATGAAAGTGACTTTTTACTCCATTTTTTCTTTGTAGTTCAAGATTGTTTGTTTTATATTGTGAACTGACGGGCAACCAGGTTTTGTTGGCTGTACTGAATCCTGCGTTAACTGTAGAGTCCCATTGGAGCTTCAATTAAGCTGTGAAGTAAACAAGTGAAAAGGATCACTAATTTTAACACACTCATGGTTACGTGTGACCGATTGTTAAGCTAATAGACAACAATTAATTATTGAACAATTTTCAAGCATTTATATTCGGTGAAATGTACAGATAAATATTTAGACCATATCTCTATAACGGTACTTCAGTATAAAGAGAAAAATAAAATTTAATGATAAATTAATTGCGTTGAGGTTAATTTTGACACAAATATAGTTTGTAGAGATATTATTCAGAATTCATTAATTCGATACCCATGTGAAGGAGGCTGTAGTGAAACAGGTAAGCTGTCATCTTGAGACGGCCGCCATAAAAAGTGAAATAATAATATGCCTCTCGCTCGATATTCTGGAATATTTTTGAGTTATCGTTATCATTTGAAGTTTTACTTATTTTTATAAACAGGTGTATTTATTGGAGATAATAAGTGAATTCATTTTTTAATTGATTATTTATCTACCCTTTAGTGTTGCTCATTAAGTAACTAAATAGTAATCCATCAGAAAATAGAACGCAGAATTACTTTTAGAACCCCGAGATATTTATTAACCAGGAACCTTTCGTAGATGGTGGAACACAAATGTGAATCTCACATAAATAAAGCAGAAGGTCACTTCTAAGACACTCCTGATAGTAAGGATTTGATTAGAAATACAAATAAAACTGCTGCCGAAAATATTTTAACTGAGAAAGGTGTAAAGCAATATGATTTCTACTAGTAAAATTTTGAATTATTGCATGAAATCGACAACGAGCTCAAGTAAAGTATCAAACATTTTAGGTAGCGTACTTCAGAACAGCATTAATTTCGTAATGTCAGTTCTTTGCCCTGTTCCATGATCTATCCTTAAAAATATCGTATTAATGGCTACAGGCGCGACAATCAACCAATTAACCCCACAGCAGTGAACAATTAATATGATTCCGATTACAAGGGATGGGAATTTTTTTTTTAAAAAAGAAAACCATTAATTTTTGAGATTTTATGTCATATTTCCATGCCCAGTTCGACGGTTTGTTAAACTCTTACAATATTTAAAGTAAATGGGAACAATAATAACTTATCAGGTAGGAGAATTTCATTCAATAGGGTTATTTGTCCCTTAATTGTCAAAATTTGTTAGCCAGAAATGAATAAAGTAAATTAAAGAAGATAATCGAAAAAAGATAGGTGTTTTAAAGGAGAAAATAAGAAGTGTAGGTGATGAAATATTTCACGTTCCTAAATTTTTACCGCCTCAGGTCCAAATTCATAAATCTGTCACTATCTACCCTTATTAACCATTTCCCAAGCAATTTCGCTATTTTATTATGAAAATATGATTATGTCCATTCATAAATTCACAAAATTTCGATGAACATTTATTTTTGTCGCTTACTCACTCCTAGAATTGATTAAAAGCACATCAATCAAAATCCGAAACAAATCGATTTTAGAGTTTCGCATTAAACGAACAGGTATTTATATAGATGTTTAAGTGTAAGACGTAGATTCACCATCACTTTCTCAGACACGCTTCTAAGTCAAAGAAAAAAATGATACAAAAACTAAAATATATTGTGATAAAGGTATGTATTTTCCAAAAGTCTGATAAAATATAATAAATTTAGTATAGTTACAAAGTCGGTATATTTTAACATAACAGATAAAAAGTTCATTAATGTCCTGTTAGGAAATTCGAAATAGTAATACCATTATTAACAGAATAGTATAGATGTTCCAACATACTGACACATTTGATCGTGATTTTGCAATTATTGCTTCGTGTGCATCCATAATTATGCTTGCTGTTGACAGAGTATCCCTGAAAACCATAACGAATCTAGTTTAGTGACTTTTTGACTATTTACATATGAATGATTAATCCTGAAGGCGTTACTGGTTGAGACGTGATAAATAATACCTACTGAATTAAATAAGGTATTCAATTTTGCATATCTTACCCTTTGTTTCTCGATGAGTTGGTACTGGATAGAACTACTGTTACGTTTCCACTGAGAGACTTAAACGAAGAAAGTGACACTGAAGTAGAATAATTTCCCTTATTAAATATAAAAACGTAGGTGTCGTTCCCATCCAACTCCCTCGTAAATGCCAAAACGTAAGTGGCTAAAACCTCTACGTTCAAATTTCCATAAATTAATGTATCTTCTTTTCTTAACTTCATTAAATCTTGGTAGACATGAAAGTGACTTTTTACTCCATCTTTACTTTGCAGTTCAAGATTGTTGGTTTTATATTTTGAACTGACGGGCAACCAGGTTTTATTTCCCGTGCTAAATCCTGCGTTAACACTGGAGTCCCAATGGAACGGAGTCCTCTCAAAATCTCTGCTTTCACTGTTGAAATCTGATTCGAGTCCATTGCAAGCGCCTGGATCTTGTCCTTCTTCCCATGTTACCTCTCCATTTTCCATCCCAATTTCTTCTCCGTAATAAGTGACAAGTGCACCTGGCAGAAAGGCCGTTAGCATATTATATCCGTCCACATTCTCAAGCCCAAGGCGGGTGGCTACTCTATCTCTATCATGATTACCCAACTAAAACACAAAAACCTGCACACCATGGTATCTAATAAATGAAGGAGAAGCAAATTAATATTTGGGTTTTCGATTTTCAATCAAGTCGATTAGGATCCAGGTTTATTAGTTTGTGAGTCTATTAAGACCACAAACGAATCGATTTAGGTTCAAAAAGCCAACTATAACAATTAATAATTATTACCACCCAATTAGCAACACATTTGCTTGGCATATGTTGAAACCATAACTTAATTGCTGAAATGATCTCCTTGGCAGTACTGTTTAATGATGTTTGGGTTATAATAAAGAAATTGAAAGGAAAATGTGCTCCATCAACTGTGTCATTGCCATAATACTTCATAGTGTTGTTTATATCTGTGTATCCCTCGGACATGAGCACCCTATCGATAAAGATATTTTCAATGGAAGTGATAAAAGGAAGGATGTCAGTAATTATATATATGTATAATAATTTCTTCTTTTTCATGATAATAAATAAAGATCTTACACTAACTTCAGTAACAAAGGAAGTTACATGATGTTGACATCAAAGTATAAGACATTTTTCATTAGCTTCATTAGTTTATAGAGTGTACCTCTCTCTTTTATAACTGTATTATCAATTACTTCATGAATCTTGAATAAATTACAGAGGCGTTGGCAAGTTTTATTCACATATCTAAAGTAATTTTTAATAATGTGAACTAAACTACTTTTATTGTTCCAGTAATAAATAATAAAGCAAAAAATATTACAATTTTGACATTATAATCCAAAGCCGGCAAAATGAAACTGAATCAACATATCGAGATATTGATATATTTTATAGAATCAGAAGAGATTTTTGTTTCTCGGTTTGGAAGAAGCAATTCTTATAATACGATTGCCAATATTATAACGTAATTGTTACCTAGTATTTCCTCTTATAATATTTAGAGTAAATGGGAGCAATAATAACTTATCAGACAGGAGAATTTCATTCAATTGAGTTATTTGCTTCTTAATTGTCAAAATTCGTTTGCCAGAAATAAATAACGTAAATTAAGGATGGTAATCGAAAAATGATAGGTATTTTAAATGAGAAAACCAGAAGTCTAAGGGATGAAATATTTCACCTTTCTAAATTTTACCGCCTTAGGCCCTGATGTGTCACTATCTATCCTTATTAATCATTTCCAAGTAGTTGCTCTATTGTGACAATAAGATCAATAAAATTAGTTTTCCTTATTTTAACAAGAAGACGGATTTTGGAACCTTTACAATTTATAAATTCGCACAATTTCGGTGAACATTTTTTATTACTTTTAATGGTATTTTTTAAAGCCTGAGTCACCAAAGTCTGTAGTACTTGCTGTTCTACAGGACAGTCAAGTTGCCCCTTATCTACATAATTTCCATCGAAATTGCTAATTTTTATCACAGTAGTCACTCTTAGGGTTGATTAAAAACACAGTCAAAATCCAGCATTAAATTCAATTTTAGAGTTTCCCATTATAAGAACGGGTACTTCTTTGAGTATAACACATAGGTTTACTACTTTCTCAAACACGTAACCTAAAGGAAAAATGAAACAAAAACTAAAATGTATTATGACTTATGTATTTTCCAAAAGTCTGACAAAATACAACAAATTTAGTACAGTTATAAAGTTGGTTTATTTTAACATAACAGACAAAATGATAATTAAGTTACTGTTAGGAAATTCGAAATAGCAATAACATTATTAACAGAAAAGTAACATAACAGACAAAATGATAATTAAGTTACTGTTAGGAAATTCGAAATAGCAATAACATTATTAACAGAAAAGTATAAATGTTCCATCATACTGAAGTATTTGATTGTGATTTTGCTATTATTGCTTCGTGTGCATCGATTGTTATGTTTCCTGCTGGCAGAGTATCCCTGAAAACCATAACGAATCTAGTTTAATAACTTTGAATCTTTTGTGAGTCAAAAATTCTACATATAAATGATTAAGCCTGAAGGCATTACTGGTTGAAACATTATAAATAATACCTACTGAATTAAATAAAGTATTCAATTTTGCATATCTCACCCTTTGTTTCTTGATGAGTTGATACTGGAGAGAACTACTGTTACATTTTCACTGACAGACTTAAACGAAGATAGTGACACTGAAGTAGGATAATTTCCCTTATTAAATATAAAAACGTAGGTGTCGTTCCCATCCAACTCTCTCGTAAATGCCAAAACATAAGTGGCTAAAGCCTCTACGTTCAAATTTCCATAAATTAAAGTATCTTCTTTTCTTNTAAGAAATTGGTAATATCAAACTTACCCAGTTGTTGGGGGGTGTTGTTGAATTATAGCTTTTCTTCCAAATGTAATAATCTTCGTACCCCGCAGTTTTATTTTTGGACAACTGAAACCACACGTGTTGATCGCTGGTATGATTGGGAACATAATCTAAAATAATTTTCAGACCGAGTTCATGAGCTGTCTTAATAAGCTGCTCAAAATCACTCATAGTTCCGAATTTTTCATCGATATCTCTAAAATCGCTAACATCATAACCACCGTCGATCCCAGGAGATTTGAAAATTGGCGAAAGCCATGCAGCCGTTACTCCAGCATTTACCAGATGTTGTAATTTACTGGTAATACCTTTCAAGTCTCCCATTCCATCGTCATCACTGTCTTTGAATGATCTAGGATAAATCTGATAGTATGTTGCATATTTCCACCAATCGTCTTTGGCTGCAGAACTACTATTATAAATAACTTCAGCTTCAATTAAACTGTGAAGTAATGTAGCGAAAAGGGCCACTATTTTTAACACACTCATAACGTAGTTACGTACGTGTAGTCGATTGTAAGACTAATAGAACAATTTTTGGTATTTATCTCAGGTGAAACGTAGAGATAAACGTTTAGATCATGCCTCTTCACAGTTGGCACTTCAAAATAAAAGAACGATGAAAATGTTCAAGTAATGATAAATAATTTAATTGCTTTAAGGATCTTCTCGGTAATGATAACGAAAAGAACGACATGAACTGTATCGTAGACTCAAAAATGTAATAATTGAATTTTGAAAAATTGAATGCAAACACAAATAATAGTTCTCAGAATTTAATAATAGAAGATTTAAAATTAAAAAAAAAAAAACACTAAAAATATAAATAAGAAACTAAAACATTTTAATATTTGTACAGCAATATTTGAATATCAACTAAATTTAAGATAACATTCAAGGAATATTCTAATACAATGATAAACAAAATTTTTAAGTTAGTAGCAGTTAAAACTAGTATATAAAAGAAGTTTCTAAATCTAACAGTACCCAGTAATTCTTCAGTATTATTGAATTATTAATGTATGTACATATATCGATTATTATAGAACGATTTTGCGAATAGACCTGTTTGCAGGCTTGTTTATTTGATAGACCTACGAAAATTTATTAACTGTCAGTTAAATTTAATAGGTGTGGTATTTTGTTTTCGAAGCATATGTTTGCTACTGATTTAAAAACTCCAAAAATGATTATTTTTAGGTATTGCTATTTTCTTCTTTTAACTTTTCGTTAAAAAAAAAA